CGGCAGCCCAAAGACTGGGAAAAGATATTCACCAACCCCACATCTGACAGAGGGCTGATCTCCAAAATATACAAAGAACTCAAGAATCTAGTCCCCCAAACACCAAACAATCCAATGAAAAAGTGGGGTACAGGACTAAATAGATAATTCTCAATAGAGGAATTTAAAATGGCTGAAAGACACATAAGAAAGTGTTCAACATCCTTGGTCATCAGGGAAATGCAAATCAAAACAACTATGAGATACCATCTTACTCCTGTCAGAATGGCTAAAACCAAAAATACCAATGACAGTTTTTGCTGGAGAGGATACAGAGAAAGAGGATCACTCCTCCACTGCTGGTGGGAGTGCCAACTTGTACAGCCACTGTGGAAATCAGTATGGCGACTCCTCAAGAAAATGGGAATGAGTCTACCACAAGATCCAGCAATTCCACTCCTAGGCATTTACCCAAAAGAAACACATTCATATAACAAGGACATCTGTTCAACCATGTTCATAGCAGCATTATTAGTAATAGCCAGAAACTGGAAGCAGCCTAGATGCCCCTCAACTGAAGAATGGATAGAGAAAATGTGGTACATTTACACAATGGAGTACTACTCAGCAGAAAAAAACAATGGAAACTTGAAATTTGCAGGAAAATGGATGGAACTCGAAGAAACCATTCTGAGCGAGGTAACCCAATCCCAAAAAAGACAAACATGATATGCACTCACTCATATGGGGATTTTAGATGTAGAGTAAAGGATTACTGACCTACAATCCACACTGCCAGAGAAACTATTAAGCAAGGAGGACCCTAAAAGAGACAAATATTGTCCCCTGGATAAGGGGAAAGGGTCACAATCCCCTGAGCAAATTGAGAGCATGGGAAGAGGGGCAGGGAGCTATGAGAATGAGAAGGGAAGAAGAGGAAAGATTTTGTTTTTTACTTTTGTTGTTGTTGTTGTTGTTGTTGTTGTTGTTTGGTTGGTTTTTTGTTTAGGTTTCACCTGTGCATGCAAATTTGACTTCATCTTTAGTAAGTAGTAAAGTTATAGTTATATGCTTGCCAAAAAAAGTGATACACTAGAAGACAAATGTCACAATTTCAATTTTATGTGTAACCTAGAAATGATGAACTTATGGTAACAGAGAGCAGAATTGTAGCTATTAAGCTTCAATGTGGGTCGTTTAACAATGGGGAAACGATTGGTTTAAGGATATAAAACTGCAGTTGGACAAGAGGCATTGACTCTGTGAAGTCTTGAGGTCTACTGAGAGCATGATAAACATGGCTGATAACAATATGCTATATTTTAAAAGTTGTGAGATAGTATACATTAAGTGTTCTCAAAACAGAAATGATGAATATGTGTGATATAACATGTTAATTGGTTTAATTTAGTCATGCCATTGTGAACATACTGTATTGTGTATCATAATTGTGCATGACTTTATTTATGAGCTAAATAAATGAATGAAAAAGAAAGAAGGGACTTTGAGATCCCATCCCACATGAAGGGATGCTCTCATCCAGGACACATGGGGCAGGGCCTTGGCCTGGCCCAGGATGATGTTGTGGAATTTGGGGAGCCCCCGTGGAGGGCTCTACCCTCTATGGGGAGTGGAGGGGGGAAGGGGATGGTGGGAGATTCTGGGGAGGGGGGAGAGGGAGAAGGGATTGACATGTGAAATTATAATTTGTAAAAATTAAATAAAAAATTAAATAAAAAAGGTAGAGTGATTTCCCAGTAGTTACAAAG